TTGTGCCTCTGCCTCACTGATGCTGCCACTACTCGCTGCCGCTATGTCTGTTTTGAAAGTGACGACATATCGACACACATTTTTTTACGTCGCCGTATTTTACGTGTCGACGTAATCGATTATGTCAACGCGTCGTCCCGGCCCTAAATATAGCATGTAACTGATCAAGCAGACCAATTCTGTAAGTGGTCCACATCTCTGGTTTAACTGCTGTCCACAACATATAGACGGACCATAGTCTAAAATATTCATACAACTTAAGAATATCATGTTTTCTCAGAGAACTGTGATACCTCTCATTGTTACTATGTTAAATGACAGATCCATTAAATGCAGAGTTACAGTCAGCAGCTTGTTGTCTTAGCCCTAAAAGATCCGTCATCATGTGTTGATGATGACCTAATCCTACTCTGCAATTTAGGAAAATAGAACCAACCCTGGCTAGCAGGTGCTTCCTGATATAAACTCAGATGATCAAAAGTATGACACTAAATGTGATTCAGAGCAGTGTTTTTCTTTCGTATGTATTTTCTAAAGCAGTTCAACAATATCATTATCATTATCACATAATAAAATATCTAAAAGCTTCTATGTTATTTACAGTAAGATGTATCCACAACAGACAACATAAGCTTTTTGGGGGGTTTGTTTGGTTTGTTTTAATGTATGAATGGATGTAGGATTTAAATGCATAGAAGTGCCAATGGAATGCATCTGTGTTAGGATTAAAAACTGGTATGTAGTCCTCACTTTCGACAAAATTTGAATTGGAGGCTCAGTGAAACAGCCTTTTGTTGCTATGTCATCTAATATTGGCCATGTGACTTGGACGCACCAGCACATTCATTAACTTTTTATCTTTGAAGGTTAGCATAAAAACTTTAAATAAGAAATCTTCTGCTCTGCCTGAAGATAACAAAATTCAACTATGCAAACACACATGCACACACAAACACACACACTTTATATCCTTGTGGGGACATCTCATTGACACAATGCTTTCCCTAACTGCTTACCTTAACCATAACCATCAAAAATGAATGCCTAACCCTGACACTTACCCTGAACCTAAACATAACCTAATTGTAACCCTGACACTAAAACCACATTTTGAGTCTCAAAATGCCTTCAAACTCGTGGGGGCTGGGATTTTGGTTGCCACAGGGGCTGCTGGTCCCCACAAGTAAACTTCAAATTTTTGGTCCCCACAAAGATGTTAAAACCCATCCATACGATATCCATCACATTATTTACATTGCTCATGATAAAAGTATTTGTGATAATTTATGCAATAAATGTGTTCATTACTGAAAACGTGTACTGAAAATATTTCTTAGTATCTATTCTGAACTGTGATAACAAGATTCCTCTTTTGTGTTTTTTTGTTAAATCTTTTTTTTTAAATCCAGTGATAAACTCAGCAATAAAGTAGTCCATCTGGGCCAGCACATTCAGTCAGCTTTCAGTCAAAATGTGGTGATTCGGACAGTTGAAGAAGTAATTTGTCATCCTGAATACAACAGCACGACATACAACAATGACATTTGTCTGCTGAAGCTGTCAGCTCCTGTGTATTTCACAGACTACATTCAGCC